AGACTAAGATACATAAATTTGTAACTCTGTTATTATTCTTAGGGGACAGTAGTCCCAGAATAAAATTATTTTTTCATTTCATTTCATTTCAAATCCTTTCCGATAAAATTGACCTCAGAATAACCCTGAAAACCCCAGATGACCTTGACAATGCCGTACACTTTGTTACCACCACTATCCAACAAGCAACCTGGACTGCTTCCTCTCCAAACCACTCCTCAAGAACTCCTAAGAAAAATAAGTTACCTCAACACCTCATAGACCTAATCCATACCAAACGCCGTGCCAGATTATTATGGCAACGTACTAGACACCCCACTGATCGTCAATGCTATAATTATTTTTGCAAAAAATTAAAGATAGAATTGGCCACCTTCAGATCCCAATCCTTCAACTCCTACCTTACTTCCCTCTCTTCTCATGACAATTCTCTATAGAAGACCACTAAACATATCCTAAAACTCCATCATATATCACATCCTCTCCGTCGAGGTGATGGCTCTTGGGCGGCGTCTGACGAAGATAGAGCCGAGGAATTCGCCAAACACCTCTCCAGAACATTTACCTCTCATCCGGAATCCAACCTCACCCATACGTCAGTAGTAGAGGAATTCCTTAATTCACCCATCCCACTCTCCTTACCGCCTAAAGCAGTTAATCCTTCTGAGGTCAAATTCCTCTTAAAAAAACTACCTTCCCGCAAATCACCTGGATACGACCTCCTTACCTCTCAGATCCTTAGACAACTCCCTCCTAAAGCTGTCATATTCCTTACATACATATACAATAGCATCCTACGAACCACCCACTTTCCTCTTTTGTGGAAACATTCCACTATTATCCTGTTTCCGAAACCAAGCAAACCTCCCAACACCTCAACGCCTTACAGACCAATTAGCCTACTTCCAATTATCTCAAAAATCTTTGAAAAGATCCTCCTGAAAGGCATCCTACCCTTTATAGAATCCCAAAATCTTCCTTCCCATCAGTTCGGATTTCGTTCACAACACTCTACAGTCCAACAAGGACTCCGAGTGGTTGGTCATATTTCCGCAGCATTGGAAAGCAAGCAATATTGCTCGGGTGCATTTCTGGACATAGCTCAAGCTTTCGACCGGGTATGGCACGCCGGGCTTCTTTCCAAGCTGAAAACCCATCTTCCTCAGTCCTTATACCTTGTTCTCCGTTCCTACCTCTCAGATCGTACCTTCCGAGTTCGTTGCGGTATTGAATTTTCGCATTGCTATCCAATTGAGGCAGGTGTTCCTCAAGGTAGCGTATTGGGTCCCATCCTTTACATCCTCTTTACCGCCGATATCCCTGTCCATCCCGATACCTTTCTGGCAACTTTTACTGGTGACACCGCCATTCTATCATCAGACTCAGATCCTGATATAGCATCCTTAAACCTTCAAAGGCACCTCTCCCTGATTGAGCACTGGTGTAATAAATGGCGTATTAAAGTAAATGAATCCAAATGCCAACACATCACCTTCACGCTCCGACGCAGTTCTTGTCCACCAGTACACTTTAATTCCATCCAGCTTCCTTTCTCAGACACAGTCCGATACCTTGGCTTTCTCTTAGACAGACGACTAACGTGGAACCCTCATACTAGACTTAAAAGACGGGAACTAAACCGACGATACGGACAACTATACCGGCTACTAAACAAAAAATCTAAACTTTCCATTGAAAACAAGTTACTGATCTACAAGACAATACTGAAACCTATCTGGACTTAGGGACTTGAGCTGTGGGGAGCAGCAAAATTTTCTAACATCAAACGCATCCAATCCTTTCAATCCAAAGTCCTTCGAACAATAGTCGATGCTCCTTTCTATGTAACCAACAAAACCCTACACCGTGACTTTAATATCCCATTTGTAAATTCTTCAAATTCCACCAGAACCTTACCCATCATCCAAATCCACAATTGCACAATCTCTATCCAGCACCACCCATCCATATAATCCTCCAAGGAGATTAAAACGGCAGTGGCCCCTCGACCTTTTATAGTTTATAAATAATGGAGTTCTGGCAATGGCCAGATTCTCCACTCACGACATGAGTGTATGTGGCTTAAGCACTCTTGCTCAATCTCCACTGGGTTTAGCCCCAGTGACGCGGTTGAGAGAGAAGTGTAGGGATCGCCTGGAGTCATGCTTTTCCCTCCACAATTGGAGGGAAAAGTCTGGTTTGGAGTTCTCTCGCCAGATTGTAAATATTATATATAGGTATATATGTGTTCTTTTTATTCATTTATTTTTAGGTTATTTTATTTTTATTTATTGTATCCGTACATATATTATTACAGTACGGCTCGAAATCGGTTTTGTACCAAATATAAGCTTCTGTTATGCTCAAATACCACGAATGGGGTACCGTTGGATTCAGAATTTCACGGGGGGTTAGCGAATCTTATTCTCCACTTTTGTTTTTCTTTCTAAATTAAATAAAGTCGATACAAACATTTTGATAGGCTTCGATACTGGAACGGTGGTAGGTCTGTAGATCGATACGGGACAAATTGGATCTTGAGGATTTTGAAGCGTACAGCAAAACCCAGATAGTTCCATCGGAACTATCGGATCCTGCGTTTTTAAGCCGAAAAACGTACCATTTTTGAGATAACGCAAGGCATAGGGTTCGCATCCACACAACCTTACATCAATTGTAGTATTGTCATTGAATACATGTCTCATTTCGTCGACTTGAGGTCTCTATGATCGAGAAAGGGGGAGTTTATATTATTCATCGATGGTGTTTTTGATCGGCAAGCCATATCATCGTTAATTTTTCACCAAATCTCAAGATTGAGCCACCAATTTCGAAGGCTTCCTTCTCCTTCAGGCTGGCAAAATAGTCCAATCACCCAGAAAATTCAGGCAAACAAGTTATGAAAGAAAATAAACTTTATTTGCGAATAACTGAAAAATTACACACTTTTCCCTTATTACTAAATTCCCTACAAAAGGAAAAAAAAAAAATCATAGCAATCGGACAATTTTTAGCAAATATACAGCTTACTGAAATTTGTATACATGTTGGTTCCAAACAAAAATGAAGATTTAAATTAATTTGTGTTTGCTTTGTGGATTATGTTTATCGATAAAGTAACATTTGATGTCTTAATCTTTTGATAAGTTGCATTATTTTATTTTCGTTTAAAAACTTGGTAAATTTAATGGCAGCTTTGAATTGTAGTGTTTTACACCATGATGCCCAACACTTTGAGTTATCGATTGTGTAACATCCTGAGAAATTCAGAGCTGAAAGAAAATTTAGTCACATATCATTGTTTAACAAGGATTTCAACACGGATGGTATGAACACTCAGCACAGACAGTAATTATAGAGAGGTAAGAACACATTCACACCATATATACAGAAAAAAAAAGAATTAAATAAAAAATAAATAATCATCAAAAAGTATATAAAATAAATAAAAATAAAATAACTTAAACATGAGTAAATAAAAATAAAAAAAACATAAAAAACAAAGTCATATCTATACACAATATTTACAATCAGGAGAGGGTACCCCATGACAGGCTTGTCCACCTGCTTCCAGAATGAAATGATGTCCTAAGGTCTTGAGGAGAGAATTGAACTGGACATTGCATATAGATCGGTTAGGAGGGCAGTACGCTGATGCAAGGGTGGCCGGAAAGCAGAAATTATAATTACGATAGCGGAGGATTGTAGAAAATATTGTGTAAATAATGGGAATAGATAGTGGGAGAGGTATTGGTGCACAATGATAGCAGTACCAGCATGTGCTCTTTCGTCAGGACGGTCAGTACGATATGTCAAGTATAGCGGTATTTTGAACACTTGTTTAGTGGTTAGTCGAGTTTCAGTAATTAGTGCCACGTCAACGTTCTTGTCAAGTAATAAAGCAGATAGTTCGTCTGTATGATTTCTAACATTATTCGCATTCCAAATGAGAATGAATATAGATTTATTAGAAGTAATTTAAGGATTTCTTAGGGGAGGGATAAAGTGTGATACAAGATTGGTGAGAAGCGACATCAAAGGAGTAACAAGAGATCTGAAGTTATAGAAGAAAGATGTAAGTAAACGGGTGAGATCTGTGGTAGTTGATGGAGAATGAATGTGAGGATTTTGGCGTTGATAGAATTGTAAAGGATTAGGAGAGATTTAAGTAGTGGGATGTTGAGAATTATGAGGTGTATATTTTTGTTGCGGTAGGGTCTCTCAATTACTCGGGTGGGGCAACCGGGGTACTTGCCCGTTGGGGACGCCGGCCTATCTTCAGGGGCGCTCGCTACTTATTAGAAATTTAAAAAAAATACAAAACGTATTAAAATAATAAATTATAGCCTATCAATAAAGCAACTGTATTAGAGAAATGTTGAATGAAATAAAATTCAAATAATACATAATATAAAATAGCTTAAGAAATAAATTTATTTTTTTAGGGGGAAGGAGAGATGACGTCGCCATACATCTCGAAGATGCATGAGATTAACCGGGGGCACCGAATGTTTAAGGCTGGCACTACTCACTATCATCATCATCATCATTTGTGGCGCTACAACTCCTGTAGAGTCAAGACCTCCTGCAACTTGGTCCGCCAGTCTCTCCAATTGCGGATTCCCAAGATGAACCTGGAATGCGCTGCCGCTCCATCGATCCATCGGAACCGAGGTCTTCCCACTCTTCTTGTGCCATAAATCCTTTTATCTACGACCATCCTAGGAATATGATCCTGAGTCATTCTGCATACTATGTACTGTGAAATGATTCCATCAGTTCCGCATCATCTCTTGATAAGAGTTTGATTACTTTTGACCCCATATATAAAGCACATAAAAAGTACGACAAGAAATATATGACCTTTTGCAAGATAATACTATTCTCTAGACTATCACCCGTTTCTTCATTTCATTATTTCTTCTTCTTATTTTTTTAATTTTCTTACCAAATTCTACACCGACCTCTTTGGTATATTTACAACTATTTAAGTACTGGAGGTTTTAGATTACGATTGTTTTGAAAATCTACATTGTTATGATCTATTTATATGATAAAGCCACTCAAAATTTATTGTTTTTCATTGGGCATATTTTTTTACTCCATGTAAAATGAACAAATTGGTTTTTTCTCAATTAAGGTCCCAATTAGTCTTCCAAAGTATTGGTTGTCGCAAGTTAAATTTTTTAGACAACTTAAGGAAGTATAGTAAAGTTAATAATCAAGCTGCAAATGATAAACTGGAACCCAAAAAAGGCAATAAGCCTGTTTATATCACTTTGATAGGAACTGATGGAATTCCCAACACAAGTGTTTTGGAATCTGCTATAAAATTGTCCAAAAGGAGGAATTTAAAATTAGTTAAAGTTAGTGATTATGATTCTATTAGGCAGAGCCCGGTGTATAAACTACTCAGTGGTGCAGAAGTGTTAAAGGAAGACTTAGATGGTAGGAAAAACAAAAAAAAAACTGGCACTGGCTTTAAGAGTGAAAAGATTTTATCTATTGCTGATAATATTAGTTTACATGATTTAGATTCAAAGTGTAAAAACATTTTAAAATGGATTGAAAAAAACCATGAAGTGAGAATAACTATTTCTTGTTCTTCATCTAAGAATAATGGGGTACGTAAATATTAAATGTCCTAACTTAATATTATTTTATGGTCAAAAATTGTTATACTTGTTTGAGTTAGTAAACCCTTTCGGCTACAGAAATTAATAACAGGGTCGATTGTATGGACTAATCAATATATAATCAAAAAAAATAGGGATTGAATCAAACTTCAATTAGGAACAAATAATATAATAAATACATCTTTGTTTAAATTATTATATCTTTATAATGTTATTGAAACAGTATTAATTAAATTACAGTATCAATTTCATAGTACTATAGTGTCATCTCAATTTGATGGATGGGCACTAGATCAAAGGATCACACTGTAGATTCGATGCCGAAAAAGGCTGGTCATATCTGAAAGTAGACTCAAGCAAAAGATGGGTGTTTGTTTTTCTTTTCGAAAGAGCAGAAGCTGAAAGTCATGAAATAATTTTAGTTAATTAATTAAAGCCCTGCTAATCTCAATTGAAAAGGGCTTGTTAGGGTTTTATTTATTTCATTTGAATGACCAAATGATGACAGTTGATGGGAGTTTGTACCCGTGAAAATGGTTGACAATACTCAGCCATTTTTAGAACTCCATCTACAGTGAGATTTTATGCTCCTCTAACATATTGGAGGGCCACTTGTGAAGTGGTACAGTACCTAGTATCAAACAATTTCCAGGTATGTCAAAAGATTATTGGAGTCAATTTTCTCTTGACATATTGTTTGAATTCAAAGAACTCAGGAAACCTTTATTACAAATATAATGATTTAAAATAAAATTTTGAATTTATATTAAACCATTTAATTAACATATACAAATATTTTATTTTACTATATAATAGGTAGTTTATTTTATTTTAAAATTGCATTAATAGACTAAAAGTATGTAAAGTAAAGATTTAAGAGCTTTTCGAAGGCTCGTTTAATTTTCAAAAAAATTATATATATGCCTATGTACATAGAAAAATTCAAGATTAAACAAGATTTTGCGCTATGATTGATGGTCTGACATGACTATGAAGTCATTGTCATCTGCATAACTTAGCAGCTGAATTAAGCTGGGAAAAGTTGTCTTGCAAATTTGAATTTCTGGAATCTTACAACTTTATCAGCTGCCATATTGAAAAGGAGACAGGCAGGTGCATCTCCACCATACCTAATATGCTGATGGCACCAAATGTTTGTTCCAACACTTACTACATGCTTGGAATTATCCATTGTTATCTTGATGAGAAGTATTAGTTTCCTTAGAATGTTTAAAACTTCCATCACTTTATATAATTTTCCCATATCCACATCATGATAAGCCATCTTAAAGTCAATAAAAAGGTGATGTATAACCATCCTATATTCAAGGATCTTTTCTAGGATAATCCTGACAGAAGAAAGGTGGTTTGTAGTTAACCTTCCCTTTCTGAATCCAGCCTGATAATTACAGTTTGTTTTCTACAAATGGGCTTGCTTCTCAAAAAGTACATTTGAGCACAATTTATATGCAAATGAAAGAAGAGCTATACCTCTGTAATTTTCACACTTTGTCCTTTTTTATGCAGAAGGAAAATTATTAATTGACTTCAATAATTTTTTATTTGTTCCTCATCCCATATAGAAAGAAGAATAAGGTTGTATGATTCCCTCTTTAATCCTTCCCCGCATTCAAGAGCTCTGCCTTGAGCTCATCCCTGCCAGGAGCCTTTTTGTTTTTCAACTTTAAGATGGCATTTTCAACATCTTTATCAGGTGTCTCTATCTATGTCTTCTATATCGTCCCCTCTCTATCTGTCATCAATTTGAGAGATGCTTGATTGTTCTTTATTACGAATAAGTTTTTGTGCTTCACATATCTATCTAGTGGATCATCCTTCTGGGTAATAACAGTCCTTATTTTAGCAACACTTATATAATGATAGGTAAGGTATCCATATTTGCCCCTCTCATGTTCTGATGCATAAGAGGTTTGATTTTTTATGTGTACCTATCAGCAGATGATCAATCTGGTTTTTTGTCCACCCACCAGGAGATCTATTAGGTTTTCCGGAAAATAATGCAGGATTTTGAATTTTCTTTAAAATACCCCTCTATATAACAAACTGTTTACGTTTACTGGATTTTTCATTTGTATGAATGATTAATGTTTATACACTTATTAATCCTCTTCCAAATGATAATGTTTGTTCACCTCTGTAGCATTTCGCTGCTTAGAAATAATTCAGTCTTTACTTAGATATCAACACATGATTTTCGTATAATTTTGTTTTACGAGTTTAAATTCAGCTGGAATGAGGCCCAGACAGCCAGAAACATCAATCAAGTCTGGGGCAAGAGCAGCATTAATGAGTGCACTGTTCAACGGTGATTCAAAAATTTTCGGGAGGGAGACTTCAACCTTGAAAAAAAAGGTCGTGGAAGGACTTCTTCTCTTGATGACAATGTTCTGCGGGCTTTGGTGGAAGAAACTCCCAGAGCAACTGTTTGAGAACTTGTAGGGAAACTTAACCTTAGCTAATCGACCATCGATGACCACCTTGGGGCGATTAGAAAGGTAAAAAAGCTTGAAAGTTTGGTTTCAGATACATTAAAGGAACGCAAAAAAACCGGCGTTATGATGGTTTTGCTACATTTTGCCAAAACAAAAACAACCCTTGTCTGTCCAGAATTGTTACTTATGATGAAAAGTGGGTTTCTCCCCTACAGATTATCATTTTTTTAGACACCTGAACCACTACTTACATGAAAAAAAAAATTATTATACAAAGGAAATTAGAAAATGCTTTTGGAGTTTATCAATTCTAAAGATGGGAAATTCTATTCCAAGGGAATGGAAAAATTGCCAACATGTTGGCAGAAATTTCTTGGTAGTAATGGAGACTATTTCGATTAAATAAAACAGTCCTAATTTTCTCTGTTTTAAACCTATATCCTGCATTATTTTCTGGACAACCCAATATAAGTTGCTTATGAGACCATGTGAAGTAGATCAATCTTTGACCATGGTCATCGCCTCATTCGTGAAGTTTATGGGCACGAGTGGTGGGTTGATAATGCACTTCTCTACTAACTTTTGCATTAAAATCATCAACACAAGTTTTGTATTATGATTAGGGCATTTTAAAGGTCATCTAACTTTTCTTTTTCTTCTTCATCTTCAGCTACTTCCATTAGTGCGTAGCAATTTATGACGGTGTAGTTAAAAAATCTACCTTGTAATCTAATTTTGCAGAGTGAGGGACTAATAGGACAAAAATCAATCACTGGCTGATCCCTTCCTCTAACTATAAAACCTGTCCCCAAGATATGTACTTTATTGTGACAACTATAGTAAAAGGTTCAATTTCAGATAAGCCACTCCTGATCCACTGGAGTTCCTGCACTGGTGCTTAATGAATTCTATATTGGTCCAGTTGTATGAGGAGTGCTCCAAGTCTATATAGTGATAAAATGTTCCAGTATTCAATACATAAGTCATTATGGCAGTTCAAAGGTCATTTTCAACAATACAATCCTACTGATACACTTTTTAGAGGTTTTATGGTTATGATATTTATGAGAAATGGATTAATCAGATCACATTTCCCGAATCAGATGGAGAAGGTGACTCGTGGATGTGTACTGTGTATGTTCTTTGTCTGTTAGTGTGAGGTGTATTTGGTGGTGATGTATTTGGTTAGTGTGAGGTAGTGATGTATTTGGTATACAGTTTGAGTGTCAGAGTTATTGTTCCCCTAACCTGAAGGTCCAGTAGCTGATTATAGTCTGATGACTGGGTAATGGGATGGTCACTTCTCTACACCCTAATGTTATTTTTGTTGTATTAGCAGATTTAAGGATTGTTTTTTTCTTTTAAGACACTTTCTTTTTATAAACAACATATATTCACATATGTATCTTAAGTTCTCAGGATTAATGCTCCATCATAACCAATAAACTGCAATACATCAACTCAGTTATAAAACATTGGTACAATTATAATACATACTATTAAAATGATAATTTTTTTAAATATTTAAATTAAAACATTGTTATGATTCTATACTTTGTTACTATACATATTTCTGATTACAGTTTTATTATATAACTGTATATTTCACAAACAGACAATTTATGTTTGTAACTCTAATGTTACTATGTTATTATCTTTTACATTTGTAACTCTAATGTCTGGGAGTAGACACACTGTGAACTAGCATTCATATAATTAAAAATATTAAAATTTTAAGTCCCTGCAACATTTTACATTATAGCTCTCTGCAACCTTTCTAAAATATTTTATATTTTTAACTCTAAAAACTGCAGTTCTTAGATAATGAGTTTTGGCCATGTACATGCAGACAAATATCTCCAAAACTGTAACAACACTTTTAAATATTTCTTTAATAATGTAAGCTGAACAAATTTTAGTAATGAAATAAGGTACAGTAATTCTCAATTGAGACAATGTTCAATATTCTGCAAATGATAAATACATTTTTTCATTGTTCAATTTTTGATAAAAATATAGTAAGGAACAGGTTAGGCAAGTTGTCTGTTTTTAAAAGGAAATAATTGTTATTCTTTTGATGTTTAAAAAGTAACTGTTGAGAATTATTTTTGACACATCAATGTAAAATGTTTCTAAAAATAAAAATAAGCCTGAGGATAAAAAAAATTCCTAAGACTGAACTCTTAACTTGACTTTGTGTCTTACATTTTCTTTGATTTTGTAAAAACTAGTCTTAAAACTGTTTTCATAACGTAGTAAAATCTTTACCTATTTTTTTTAATGTGTGTATTTCTAAATATTGCATATTATTTCTTCATTAAAATTGTGTATTTAAAAAAAATCAAGATTTATTTAACTATTATATTATTTCTTATGTTGATATTTCTTATTTAACTTTTATTTCATAGATGAATTGGTTGTAATGATATCAAGTTTGATTTGACGATAATTATGATATTGTTTCATAAAACTATAGTTGTTAATTTATGTGTGTGATTTTTTAAATTATTTTTATATTGCAGTGCTGTTATAAATTGAATTTTCAATAAAATGTAGTATTTCTTCTGGATTCATATTCCGGTTTATTAAAAATTAATGAAACTAGAACCTTAAACTTCCACCAATAAAAATAAAAGAGAAAGTTGCTAAATTTACAAATAGGCGTTTTTTTTTTTTTTTGGTTCACATCATATTCAAAGTCAATCTATGGCTGGTCTGGTTTACAGCAATTTGGCTTACCTGGATTGGCAACATTGCTCTACATGCAATTTGAATATGTACATTCATCTATATTACTTATTGTTAGATTTACCTAATTTTATAATATTTATTAACTATTATGAAAGACTATTCTGGGAGGAAGGGTTACCTACCAATTAATCTTAACTTTCCAGTATTTTATATTTATGTATCGTTCTTAATATTAATTATTAGTAAAATCATTTTTTTTATTAAATGATAAATTTATAAGCTTTATTAGGGAGCGGGGTAGCTCAGTGGTAGGGCACTAAGCTTCTGGTGCCAGGTTCGAATCCAGGCTCATGGTAGAAAAAATTGTTTATTCTGTTTCATTGGCCGTAGGGAGACCCTCCTGGGGCACACCCATCCTCTATAAAGTGGGCACTCTTAATTAAATAATTGATATGGGGAAAAACCTGGCCTGAAAACAATACTTTCTCTAAACGCTACTGAACCCAAGACCCTTCATGGGTTGTAGTGGTACAGGTTTATTAAATATATGTTTCAACCTGTATAATAAGGTTTTAACATCAAAATGTTTCTAAGGCTTTTCTTATATCTAATGACTTTAATTAATTAATTAAAGTTAATGATACATTTTATAAAGTTGCTTCATAACTTTTAATGAAATTTATCATCACTTTATTCAATAATCTGCTCAGTTATTTATTTATTAATAAATCACTAAGAGTTTTTAGAGAGAGGTATAATATGATTTTAAATAAATGACTTTCTTAGTAGAGGGTTTATGTAATTGGTGATTATTTGGAATATCTTTTAAAAAGTACATATTATATCTTGTTTTTAATTTTCTTATATTTTTTTAGGAAGCTGTATTTAAAGAAATTGAAGAACGGATTAAACAGCATGGTAGAATTTTGCAGAAAAGGGAATCTGGGAATGATATAAAATTCCATGTAATACCACCGAAATGTACAAAGACTAGTGTTAATGAGACGACTAACAAATAGGAATTGTGGTGAATCATGTGCTCATCAAAATATTGTTGTATTTTTAAATAAATTAAGATATTATTTTTGTATATATTTGAGATGTTTCTCTAAGGTCATTTTCAATCCAAAGAAATGACTTTCATTTTCCCCTCAAGTGCCTTGTATACTAAATATTATAGATAAATATGAAATAAATTAAAATATCAATAATAGATTTAATTTTCTATAAAACTCAATAGTATATATCTAGAATTTACAGCATCCCAAATGTAACAGAGCTTCTTAATCTACTTGGAATAGTAACAAAATTTATAAATACAGTTTATAATGAAGTCCAAATTCTACTACTGTTAAAAGATTTATCTCTTAAGTTACACATTATTTTTTTATCTGAAATCTGCACGTAGATAAATAGAATCTGAGCAATCTTGAACTCCTTAACTTTGGTTGTAAATGCCTATCGAATATCTACAAATTCTTAACCAATGAAAATTAATCAACACTTTCTAAATCTTGGATTCCACCCATGTATATGGCCTAAAACAAAACTATGCATTATCAGTGATCACTTTGCATGTGTACAAGATAATCCCAATAATTTAACCTCAAAATATCACAAAAGATATGTAAAAATGTTCATGAATATTTAACCCTTTTTCCAATCTTCCAAGAAGTTGCGACTCTCATCAGGTCATATTGATAAATTATCCTATGTCGATAAGGTATCTGCTATATAATTCATTATAATTGAAAACCTCCCAACAAGATCTATAATACATATTACAAAAATTTTTAATTACTGTTTGGGAAAAACATTTTCATATCAATGGAAAAGCATAAAATTTATCTTCTCAGTTAAGCCACGAAGAGAACTAGAAATATCAGACTAATTATCTTCCGGATATTTTAAATATCTGAAAAATCATAAAGCATCGCCTTATTTAGCATATTCTAGTTAATAATCTATTAATAAATAAATGATTTTTGTTCCACCATAATCATTTCACTACTAACCAATCAGTCTTTATATTTAACTGTATAATTATTAATATTAACCATAAAGTGTATCCTTATCAAAATTGAAAGAGTATTAAATATTGTCACTCCAAATCTTATTTTTAGGAAAATCTTTTATTGAATAAAAAACATAATGCAATCTGCTACACCCAAGGACATTAAGTCTTAGTGTATGAAGTATGTTTCTAAATTAATAGATTATATTGCAAGATTATTAATAGAAGATTTCAAAGCAAAGTAACTCTCAGATAGCCGTAAATAGCTGCTCATAATCTTTTCGCCAAGTCAGAAATCATCAAAACATGAATAAGAAAACGTAAATGCAGATCTGAGATGGAATATTTCACTCTTAACAGCCTTTAGAACACTAATCAATAACAGGCAGTATATCATGCCAAAAGTTATGGATACTCTATTTGAACATAATTAATGTTTCTCTATTTATTACTATTTGAGAGACTTAATGATTTGTTTTTTTATCTTCTCATGATAACCTAGTTTTAGGTTTTGCATTTGTTTGGGGGGGGGAGGAGGTTTACTTTAATTTATCAATTAATATTGTAAGATATTTAGTTCTTAATGGAAGTTGAAACTTCTTTAAAAAGTTCCATTTTAACAGTTCCTGTGAAACTTGTTAGGAAATAAGTTTTTAAAATAAAAATTCTAAGGAACTTTTGTATAATGAGCTTCTAGGTTTACAGTAAAAATTTAACTTTTATTTATTTAAGTTATTTAAAAAAGTTTTGTTGAGTGAGAAATAAATAGTAATTGAACTTACATTAGTGTTATAATTTATCTTAAATGAATTACTTGATTCTGATTTGTTGTTTGTTTGAATATCTATGATAGACTTTTTGGTGAAACCAACACATCCTTTAAAAAAAAGGTTTTTGAAAATAGAAGTTCTGTAAAATCTTACCTTGAAAATTTGCAAGAGAAAAAGTTCTAGTCTCAAAATAACAGAAAAAAAAATCAAAAATAAAGATTCCAGTCATACCGAAATTTATTAAAAATAAAAGTTAAAATATCATTTCATACCCTAGTTCCTAATACTTGTACAATAATTTTTATTAATTAAATAGTTCTTTATATAAGTCAAATTATTGTACTTTAACAACTTTCTCAAAATTAAAAATGGTACTACAGCTCCCTTTGCCGAGAATACAGCCTGGTTATCATTATCAAATAAATGCATCCTCTGTCTTTATCATTTTTGTTCTAAAATAGTTTTTTTTTTTTTTTTGGCTACTACAGTAGTACTTTTCAAGAGCTCTCAATGTTCTTATATATGTTATCTTCAAGGAATATATAAGCCCTTATATTTTCAAAAAAAAATTATTTTACATCCAACGACATTTCAAGCTGATTAGCTCATTATCAATTCATCTACACATAACAATTAAACAAAGATAATTTGCAACTCTGGTCGTTCATATTCTAATCATATAACGAATGAGAACTTACCAAAAACATTTTTTTATATACCATAATGAATTTCAATATATAATTTCATGAACTATTTATAGTACATCAATTGTCACAGATAACTATTCCTCGTCATCCTCTCCCTTAAATTTTTGCGCATTATTTGATGTATATCGCTACAATAAAAATTTAATTTATGTATGTCATTATTTCAGAAGTTATATGATATCTATTATTGATATTGTTTTATTTAAACTGTATGCTCACTTAGTATGGTACTACCTCCTCCATCTACTTTTTTATTTGACTGTATGGACTCTTTAGGAATGTATGTCTCCGTAGGAATCAACTAATAATTGAATGGGATCTAGCTCTGTTGATGTTTAATATTTACCAATGCCCTATCTAATTAAAAATGTATCTTATTTAATATGGACTAATTAAAAATGTATATCATTTAATATATGGACATAATGTTTGCCTATATTTTTAACATCAGATTTAAAATTGACTGAGTTATGTATATTTTTAGTAATATAAATTGATTCTAAGGTTTTTCTAATTTTATTGTTTTGTACTGAGTTTAAAATTTTTACATTGTTGAAATCAAATATGTGTTTGTTTAATATGGTGTGATTGGATAAAGCTGTGTGTTTTATGTTTTTAGGATTTTTTTACGTTTGCTTTGTGTTGTTTTATCTTGTTTCTTAAATTATTAATAAATGAATAGGATTAAAAGTCTAGTTAACTGTTTATATTGTAAGATTAAATATCTATTAATATTCTATAAACCCATTAAAGTAACACACATAATAATAAGAACTTATAATGGGATTTGTAGTTATTACCGTTGTTCTCCATTGCATTGTGATATCTCTTAAACCTGTTACTTTATTGGGTTGCCAGTTTGCAGTACGTGTAAATAAATTTGGTTTGGTATTCATCATAGAGACAAATATTATTATCTAAAAGTTGATAAGTTCATATTCTTTAAACTAATTTTTAATCTAAATAGATGATGGGATAAATTTTTTTTTCCATGTAGTATTGGGAGGAAGTAATAATAAATATTGATTAATCTTACACACCTTTTAACTGAATTGCCAATCGGGAAGACTTTTATATCAGGATGTATGTTCTGCAGCATTAAATGATTGTTGAATGACAGTAGCATTCTAGTATTGCCGCTGCCTTGTATTCATTAATGTCAGTGCCGGCCTTTGACATTAGGCGCCCATGAACAATGACGTCATGCCCCTTAAAAATTTAATGTTATTTCTTAAGGTGTTCTACATTATGTAATATTTGAATTTTATTTCATTCAACTTTTCTCTAATGCATTTGCTTTATAGGCTAAAATAAATTTCTAGATAGGCTAAAATTAGTTATTTATATAGGTTTTCTATTTTTTTAAATTTCTAACAAGTAGTGAGCGCCCCTGAAGATTGACCAGCACCCCGAGGTGGTTTCTCCACTCTAAGGCCAACACTGCTTAATGTTACTGTACACTTTAATCCAACAGAAATAATATATATCTATTCACTGTTCTTTAAAGTAAGTTTAGAAATTGTTCATGTTTTTAAATATGCAGTTTTGAATATTGCAACTATTCATGTGTGAAATGTTACGTCAGGCATTTACCTATCCAATGATTATAGAAATCGCTCTGAGTAATGCATTTGTCATCGAAAAGTGAATCATTTCTGTGATAATTTATTATTCAGCCGAGGAGTCACAATTTTCTATCAGATAATTTGAATATCTTCGGTCCATGATAGAGAAGTAAAAACATGAGTGTTGCTGATTAATATTTTTATGCAATTCAAATTTGCTTAAAACTGTGAATGAAAGCTAAATTAATATGATATGTTACTGTAGTAAGGCCACATATCATTTATGCTAGTAAAACATGAACAGGAACAAAAATATTTAGTTTAAAAAATATTTGGTCCTTTATGCAATATTAAAACCTAAAGAATTAAGAAGATTTCTGAGGATTAGATTTTTTTTAAATCATCTAGTTCATAATGTTGAATTAGTTTTCAACAACTCTTCGGTTAGTTTAAATTTTAAGTATTGTTTTGGCAATAGATGTAATTATTGTCATATTTGAATTTATGAACAGTCTATCTGTTACATTGTTTTTACAAATTTATTCTATTGTTGATCCGGTTGAGGTATGTTTTAATTTGATTATATTAAAAAGGAAACACGACTATGGCCTATATTGACCTTGATTAGACTACGTTGAGTCATTGATAATATTAATAGATTTCAAAGTACACTCCCTACTATATAACTTTGTAAATAATGTACATCGATGCCTTTTACTGGTCTTCGAAATTTTAATTTAAGTTTATTAGTACAATTTTCATGAGAAATTGATAACTTATTAGAATTACTCACGTTTCTAACAAACGTGAATCAGAGGCATGCGGTCATGGGGGTGTGTGGGGCAAACAGGGGTGTGTGAACATATGTATCACATCGGAAGCGTGCCAACCTAGTTCTTGGGATGTATGGTTCAAGCTCAAGCACTAGCGGATCCAGAATTTAATTTTTGGAGGGGGGGGCTTCAGCCCGAAACCTTTTTTTTCATAAAAATAACGATAAATACTTTGGAAAAACAGAAAGAAACTAACTACCTATATGAAATGGAGTTTAAGTGATTCCTTAAGTGATTTTAAATGTAATTACACGAACAATAATACTTTAAGAGGTATTTTTAAAAATAAATTTCCCATAAAACATGGATATTTTTTTCCATTTTGGGGGGGGGGCTTCAGCCCGAAAGCCCCCCGCCCTCCGTAGATCCGCCCGTGAGCTCAAGCCAGGGATGGATGGATCTACATTTTGTCTTTGGGGAGGACGAAAAAAAATAAATCTCTGGATCTCTGTTTGGGTTATATTATATATCTTCTAAATACTTACATTTTATATAGGAGTATTACAATTAGTAATGTTAGTAAACTGTTTCTGCGGGTCATGCGAGATTATTTCGTGTTTCTATTAAAAGGTGGAATGAGTTTCAAAATGTCAAATAACTACTTATTTCAGTATGAAACAAATCCTGTTTTTATTTAAGGTTAAAAATATGGAGGTTATTATTTTAATTTATTCCAAAAATTAAAATTGTCTTTCTCTTTCGGACGCCTCCTTTCTCCCCTGCCGTCAATGGCTCAAAGGTCGCTCAATTCTCTATGTTCGATTTTTTTTTTCTCTTTCCTAGAAAAATTTATTAATGTTTCAAAAGTACTATTAATAATAACAATTGTGTGTCGTAAAAGAAAGGGATTCTCAGAAAATCTCGGAGATTTTAGGAGAGATACTTTATTACTTGGGAAATCTCTTGAAAGTAGTAACGAAGTAGAGGATCCATCCAGGTTCGGGCTTTTTTTTTTTTTTTTTTTATACAAATGTTTATCTAGACGCCATTAGCCGAAGGTTAAATTACATTTTATATTTAACTATTTATGGTTTAATGGTAAATTGTGGGCTGCAATATATTTTACATGTTGTTTATAGACGATCTGTTTTATTGAATTTTCTTGAAAAATAATTACTGTATTAAAAAAATGCTAGAATTGTTATTCTTTGTAACCGCTACACAATGAGACGAATAGACCTTGCCCAAGAACTCTCTCCAGGCCCCAGGACTTCTTGTTTATCTCTTCTTTATATTAACAAAAAAAATGTAAAATTATGCCAGCTCAGATTCATTTTATTTTAATATAATATTATCAAATTTAATTCGGAAGTTGCACTTTTAAACATTGTATTTCTCTGACACTGTTCTATATTTTTGTTCTATATGTGTTTCAATAGTATTCAGTATCTGCAGTATTCAGTAAGCCTACATCAAAAAACTTATTTTTATTATGGTTTATGAATTTAAAGTAAAAAATATTGTGATTGGTTAGTTATTTGTGCCAGATCTGTCATAGAAACGAAAATATAATAACAATTTATTTTTTTGTTTGGAGGACATTTTGTCTGAGTCTCCCCCTTCCTGAATTCACAAGTGCTAACAATACTATATATCGATTTGATATTTACGGAAATTAATGTAATTTTTCTTATTTTAAATTAAAATGTTATAATTTTTGTCAATTGTTTATTTACTTGATGTTTTTTTAGTATACAAACCCATATAGATCTTATATTATTTTTTCAACAAAAATTAAATATTGTGATGAAGCTTATGCTTCATTTTTAAATAAGTAACTAAAGAATCAAACGAAAAGAAATCGTTCTAAAGTGCGTAGCGGAAACTGTCGTTGGAGACCAACTTTCGACTTTCGCCCATTCTCATTAGCAGATCCAGGATTTAATTTTGGGGGCCTTCAGCCCGAAAACTTTTTTTTTCATATACATAACCATAATTACTTTGAAAAAAAAAGAAAGAAACTAACTACCTGTATGAAATAGTGTTTAAGTGATTCTTTAAGTCCTATTAAATGTAATTGTACGAATAATAATATTTTAACTGGTAATTTTTAAATATTTTATAATATAAAATATGGTTATATATTACCATTTTTGGAGGGAGGGGTTCAGCCCAAAAGCTCCCCCCCCCCCATAGATCCGCCTGTGCCCATTCTTAACAGCCACCACAACAATCACCCGCCGCTACCACAGTCGTTAAATTGATTCAACACATATTGTTACTCAATATTAAAAGTTTATTTGTAATACAAATCATAGAAAGTATATTCCATATACACATTTTTACATACAGACATGTAATTAAAACCTGAGTGTTTATGGTTAATAGATGAACTATAAATTTTATTGAATTAAATAAAATAATTAATTGACTTGAAGTAGGGTTTAAATACATATACGTAAATTACAATAAATATACATAAATATAAATATTTCTTATGATCCAGGCTTCATCAACTTAGGATACTTTTCATTGCATTATAGAATTTATTTTATTTCTCTGCTCCATCTAATTGCAGCAAACATGTTAATGTGCATATTTATTTCATAGGAAATGCAAAATTAACATGTTCTTAAAGTTTCACTTCTGATTTATCACTTACTTTTACTTTTCTGTAAATTTGGCTAATTCCTTGGCTCTAATCTTCGGTTTTATTTAAGTCAGAAAACAATTTTAAAATTTTTTCATCATTTGCGAGTATCTTTTCAGACGTTACAACATTATCCTTCTTCCTCTGTCTCATCAGAAGTATATATATATCATACCATATATGCAAAAAAATCATTTCTTTGAAGGTTCAGTAGTTACTGCGATCAGGGGTGATACTCATTTTTACTTTTTTACCCGTGGCTCAAATTCGTCTGACATAAGATTCTAATATGTCACCACTACCCCGCCGGTTTCGCTCGGTGTTTATAACTAATTGTTTTCGAAGAAACAATAGCTTATTTGTTTATTGACCCAATAATTTCTAATTAAAGAAATAATTTAGTGCTTTGTGACATTTTTTAACCAATGATTAAACCTGGCCACGTCTGTAAATACTATGTATTCATTTAAATTGCAAGTTTCTTGATTTCGGTCTAGCAGTGACAAGCTAATTATGCCTCTTAAGTACCAAATTGATGAATTCCTTTTGTTTGATAATATAAGAAGGCCACTTCCACTGTCTCCACTGCAAGGTCCAGTACCTGGAAGAAATTTTTATTATTTTATAACTTAAATAATTTTCATATGTGCTTGTTTAAGGTGAAAATTTTATAATATTATAAAAGAAGGCTCTGTTTATTTTTTCAACATATTTATTTTAATTTTCATAGCTACGTTTCGGCCGGTAAGCCATCTTCAAGCCATTTTATTCAGCCATGCTTTTTGCATGTAGTCCAAAGTCTACCGGCCGAAACGTAGCTATGAAAATTAAAATAAATATGGTGAAAAAATAAACAGAGCCTTCTTTTATAATATTAAATAATTTTGTTGTAAAGTCATTAATTTAATTTCGATACAGTACAGGGAAAAAATGAGAAATAAATAAATATGCTAATGTTGGTGACAAAATTAACTCTTTTTTTTTGTGTCAGATTGATTGGGTGCTCAAAAGGATGTTTCATCGTAAGTTGCGCTATCAAAATATTTAAGGGGAGTACATTTTCATGAAGTTTTGAAGTTTTCGGAGGATTTTTTTTTTTTTTAAGAAGAGAGAGCAAAAAAGTTTCTCAGGAGGAGAAAAATGCGTTATCGACCTTGGGGAGGATGGACACTCCTGCAAGAGGCTTTAAATATTAGATATACAATATATATATATATATATAGAATAGAATAGAATAGAAAATTAAACTTTATTCTGGGACTAAGTCCCTTTAGAATAACAATGATGAATTAATACAAAGTAAAGTACAAATCTGGCCAAAAACTAACTTATAAAAATTTTAATATTATATAAATTATTTAAAAAGTATGTAACCAGTAAAAAATAAAAAATAAAATATATATACAAATGAACATAAAATCTTCTCAAAATTACTTAATTGTGATGAAAAAAAAAGAAGAGAAATTACATATTTATATATGGGATGTAAGGAGATATTGGAAAAGGAGGTATTTGAAAGTTGACAGGGAAGAGGCTTGACGGATGTTATGTGGCAAAGAATTCCAGTAGGAGACGGAGCGGGCTAAGAAGGAACGTTCATAGGTTTTTGTCCTGTGGAATGGAATATAGAGGTCAGAAACACGGGATCTCGTTTTTATTGAGTGGACTAAGGGTTTAGGCTGGAGGAGACAACAGATATAGGAAGGGTGCTGGGGGTTGATCGTTTGGTATAAGAAATTTCCAAGGAAGTATAGGCGGCGGGAAGAGGGGAAGAGCCACTTTGACTCGGCATATAGGTGGGACACATGAGACCATCTCGAAGTGCCGAAGACGAATCTTAAAAAACAGTTCATGATTCTCTTCAGTCTGTCCTCAAGCTCCAACGAGAGGCCACCGTATACCACATAGCCATAGTCAAAGTAGGGGAAAATCAATGAGGAAACGAGGAGCCTGCGGATAGGTTGTGGGAGATGCTGACGAGAACGATGAAATAATTTAAGAGTACCAATTGACCTTCTGGAGATTTGAGCAATATGGGTTTTCCATGATAGGTTTTGATCAATGGTAATTCCTAAGTTTTTTACAGAGGAGGTGAAGGAGATTGGTTGGTCATTAATATTCAAGGAAGGATGGGTGGAAATGGATCTAAGGAGGGAGTTGGAACCTATAAGAATGGCCTGAGTTTTCGTTGCATTCAACTTTAATTTATTCAAGCTTGCCCAGGCACTTATCCTATCTAGGTCTCTTTGAATATTCGTAAACGCTTCTAATAACTCAGGGGGCGGAAAGGAAAAATAAATTTGGGAGTCATCAGCATATAGATGGTATGAACAATGGTGGATTGAACTAGGAAGGTCATTGATGTAAGAATTAAAAAGGATAGGAGAAATGCTTGAACCCTGGGCTACTCCATGAGACAAAGTGAGGAAAGAAGATAAGGGTTGATTCGGAATACTAACGGCTTGAGTCCTGTCAGAAAGAAAGGATTGGAACCATTGGATAGAACTATTGGAAAAGGATAGAGGTTTTAATTTATTGAAGAGAATAGGATGGTCTAAGGAGTCTAATGCTTTGGAGAAGTCCAGGAGTACTAATACAGTCAGTTTTCTTTCGTCAATTGCAGTATGTATGTCATTTGTGATTTTAGCTAAAGCGGATTGAGTGGAGAAGCCTGGGCGAAAGCCAGATTGGAGAGGATCTAAAAGTTTGAACTCTTCGAGGTAATTGGAAATTTGGGATTGGACTATTCTTTCGAGGGGTTTTGATAGATTTGAGAGGATAGAGATTGGACGATAGTCTTTAGGCGAGGTGGGGTTAGGGATTTTGTTAATAGGACGGACTAAGGCTTTTTTCCAGGATGTAGGAAAAACTGAATTTTGAAGGGAAAAGTTATAATGAATAGAAGAACTGGAAGGATTTCAGGGAGGCATAATTTTAACAGATTGACAGGTATTCTGTCAATTCCTGTAGAGTTGGATTGGGATTTCATTATGGAGGAAATAAGGTTCGTAGGAGTGATGTAAGAAAAATAAAAATTATCACTATTAAATGCAGATGATACAGGAATATAAGAAGAGGCGGGAGAAATATTACTAGAGGAGGAGGACAAAAAGTAGGAATTTAAGGCATCAGGAGAGACTGGGACAGCTAGGGAAGAAGATGATTTGCAAAGAGATAGCTTTCGGAGTAAATGCCATTTGGATTTTGAATCAGGAGCTGAGGAGAAGGCTTCATGAAAGTAATTGGTTTTCGCTTGCCTGATCGTTGTTTGCGTCAAGTTACGGAGTACCCTGAACGCTTCGTAGTCATCTGCAAGCCTGGTTCTTCTGAAACGTCTACGGGCTGCCTCACGTCTCTTTTGCATATTTCGAATTTCTTGACACATCCAAGGAGCAGGCTGGCGGCGGAATGTAGAGGTTTTAAGTGGGGCATGGGTATTGAGGATATGGAGGAGATTAGAAGTCAGGATATCTACCATGGTATCGATTGAGGAGCTGGTGTAAACATCATTCCAATTCAGGGTTTTAATATTGGGTAAGATACTTTCACGGGTTAGGGAATTTATATTGCGGAAGGTTATGGTTTTAGGAAGGATCGCAGGGGTCTGGATATTGTAAGATAGTTGGATGAGGTCATGTGAAGACAAGAAAGGAACAGGTTGTTGGGACGAGGACAAAAGGTTCTGCGCAGAATCGATGATAAACAGGTCCAGCCATGTATCAGACCAGCAAGTGTGATGCGTAGGAGCAAATGGCACTATAAAGAGGTTAAGGGAGTAGAAAAGGTTTTCCAGGTAGTGTTTATCGTGGGAATCGGAAAGGAGATTGGCGTTAATGTCACCGGAAACTATTATATTACTGTAAAATGGGATAAATTTGTATAGGGTTGATTCGAAGGATGGGTCGAAAGGTACCAGAGGAGGGCGGTATACTACAACGTATAGGAGAAGATGGTCTTTAAAGGAAATTTCAACAAAAAGGTATTCCATGTGGGGATATTTGGAAGGGGGTGAGATATCTAGGGTTCGGGATTTTAGGCTATTATGGACGTAAAGACCCACACCACCACCCGTTCGTGTAATCCGGTCATGGCGGATAAAGGTGTGATCGGGTAAGGAAACGGAAGAGGAAGGTATGTGGGGTTTTAGCCATGTTTCGGAAACTGCAATAGTATGGTAAAAATTGCAGGTAAAATATTGCTGAAATTCGTCGAAATGGGCTGGTAAGGATTGTGAATTAACATGACAAGAGGTCAGGATACTAGTCATGTTGGATAGGAAATAGAGAAATATGATGAAAGGCAGCTGAAATATAATGAATAACATTTAAAAAGAAGCAAGTAATGGCTAAATACAAATAATAATAATAATATGCAGCAATGATAAAAAAGACTAAACATGATAAAATAAAAGATTACGTCAGTTGTGCTAGAGAAAAAATAATGGTAAAACAGTAACATAATACGGCAAAGTGATTTGTAGTAGGCAACGCTTAACATTTCCCAATTATGACCATCTAGTTGACGAATGTCGAACCGTCAGCAGAAAATGTCAAGATCTTGTGGCTGATCGATGTAGATCACCGGGTGTCCATCTTCTTTTCTACAACGAACTCTACCCCCCGCAAACCATAAGTATTTTAATTTGCCAGCTGCTCTCTTCTGACGGGCGAGCCAGTACAGACGTCTATTCATAGGAGACATTTCTTCGCCGAGATATATCCGGTGGGAGTCGTTTTCTTGCCAACCAATATCCCTAGTAGAAAAGTCCCTTTTTACCTTTCTTCTTTGCACCAAGTCGTCGCGTACAGACTGCCTCACAAAACGAGCAATCACGGGTGGTGGTCGGGATCATCTTTTCTTGGTCTCCGTCGCTCCACAAAGTCGAGGTCCTCTGCGTTGATCTTAATCCCGAGGCGCCGGCTCCCACGCTGGCTACCAAGGCCGATGGAGTCTCTCCCGCGCGTACCGGGATGCCACGAATTTCTATTGATCTACGAAGTAGACCTTGCTCGGCTTTGTTAACACGCACCTCAAGTTCACCTACTCTGGATTTCAGCATCTTATTTTCTGAGGAGAGTTCTTCTAGGCGTTTCGCATGGACTTCGAGGTGTCCTTCTATTTTTGTGAACCTCTCATTCAACTCGAAACTGAGTTCACCATACTTCTCAAGCGACGTTTTTAAATTTTTTATATCTCATTTACCTGTTCACCGAGCTTGTTGACGGCCAGGAGAATACCCGATGAGGAGGGTTCTCTGGTGTCGCTGTTGGATGGACTGGGTAACTTATCACTAGCTGGGGCAGCCTTTTTGCCCTGCTCACATTTTTTACATAGCCAAGCTTTTTTTTGTAATTTTATAGCGCCAATCTCCTTTTCACTGTAATTGCAACATTTGCCGTGAAATATTACGCGGCATTTATTACAGCTTAAATTATATTTATCGTCTCTCACGATAGGGCCGTCACAAGTTGAGCACTGCACCATTTTGTTGACAGAAAAAAAATATTTACTTACGTAAGAAAAGTGTTGTTTATCAACTTAGGCGTGTTGATGGCCTTTAATACTCTCCGGCTTAAGGGAATTAGCTACTTCTCTTCTCTCCGCCGCAGCTGGTTAACGAACTTTCTTCTATGTATAATGATTCGTAAATAAATATGAGACGCGACTATGGTGGATTAAAAACAAAAATACTATTGTGAGAAATTACTGTAAAAATTTTTATGAAATAAGTTAGTTTATGTGAAAAATGAACGAGTTTCACGGGAGTGATGTGAACTGTACGCCGTCTCTGGCCAGACTCATATTTATATATATATATATATATATATATATATATATATATATATATATATATATATATATTTCGGTTGGATCTACAGAACTTGTAGATCTTTGGCTGCCTTACCAGCCTTCTCCACCTCTCCCTATCTTGGACTACTGCTTTCCAGTTTGCGGCATGGAGCTCAGCCGTATCTTTGTTTATCCTATCTATCCATCTGGTTTTTGGCCTCCCACATGGTCTCTTGCCTACTACTCTGGCATTCATTGTCGTATAGAGGCTTCCTGATGGATTACTACGAGCTACTGACTAGCTATTGACTGACCCGTTTCTTTCAGCAGTTCTTTATTGTTCCTTCTCCTCCATGTGTCAAGGTTCTGGTCCCATATAGGTCCTGTTATCCTACATAGAACTTTTCTTTCGAATCTCTCAATTCTGGCTTCTAATGTGCCGGTTAGAGCCCAGGTTTCACAACCGTACAGCAAAGCAGGCTTAATAAAGGCGTTGTACACCGTTATTTTGAGATTTGTGGAGATTTTTCTGGATTTCAGTACCTTTGAAAAAGAGAGAAGAAAGATCTGTTCGCACTTGTAATTCGCTGGTCTATCTCTGTTAGTTGATCATTTATTGAGGTTATTGTGGAGCCGAGGTATTTGAATCAGTCTACTTTCGGGAATAACTTAGAATCCACTTGATCGTGAAGTAAAAGATAGATCCAGGGATCTAGATTACGAGACATATTATTGTTTTTCTGCGGGAAATAGTTTGGAATCGACTCTAATATGCTTAAAAGTGTTCTCCCTGATCTATTTATAGCCACTGCAGACAGAATTTGCGGGAAGCTGTGCTATCTAGCGTGATGGCCTACAGTTTTTCAGATTAATTGACCTTTAAGGTTAATATCCCGTAAAAATTGGTAACTTTTATTATTAAAGATCATCTAGTTAACATTTGATAATGATTGGTTCATTAGTTTTGAGGATTACCGGTTACAAATAAAAAACGGATTGTTCTTTAAATAACATTATGAATGTTTCACTGTATTTCGTTGTAGAGTTTCTGCTTCTACTTCATTTTGTCTTTCTTTCCTCTTTGCTATATTTATGCAATGACCAATATTTCTTCGGTGATATTTTTAAAAATATTGAATTGCAATTCCAGCAATGGTAGAAAATTAAGATTAAACTTTCATTAAGTATTGGGTTGTCAAATAAGTCCTTTCGGTTTTTCTGTTTATTATTATGTCACTATGATACACTTCTTATCTGATGAATTAATCCCTAAGGTGGATTGTTTATCCTGTTTGTAATATGTCAACAACTATATCTGTTAACTCTTGTTGAAAGTAGCACAGTATTGTGTTTGCTATTGCACTGTGAATATGGAAGAAAATATCATTCATTATTGGCATATTTTGTTGTATAATTTTAATAAAGATTAGCGTGCTGCAGAAGCTCATAGAAAAATTTGCAGTGTTTATGGGGATGATGCCTTAACGGAACGCAACTGGCCAAATTGGTTTGCCAAATTTCATTCAGGAAATGTTGACATCAATGATGTCAATGGTCTGATCGCCCGTATGTAATTGAAACAAGCAATGTTAAGGCCATTGTTGATCAAAATCTCAGCGAATCAATGCGAAAAATTGCGATGGCCCTAAATGTGTCGCACACAAGCGTATAAAACCATTTGTACAAGCTCACTCTCTAACCGAAGTCAACTTGGCAACACGCATTTCTGTTTCTGATTCACTACGGAAACGGCAACAAAACGACCCATTTTTGAAAAGGTTGGTAACTGGAACAAGAGATGAAAAAATAGATATTTTACGATAATGTAGTCCGTAGAAAATCTTGGTTGACCTAGTAATGAGGCTCATTGGGAAAGAATGTCAAAATCCGGATTGCATCCAAAGAAGGCGGAATTTCAAAGGTGTTATTTTCTATGAGCTTTTGCCGTCAGGACAAACAATTGATTCAACACTATACTGCTCACAATTAACAAAATTAGATCAATCAATTAAATATAAACGCCCAGAACTGGCAAATCTGAAGGGTGTTGTGTTCAACCTAGGCCCCACACCTCATTGGTCACTCGCAATAAATTATTGAGCCTTGGATGGAACCATTTGCCTCATCCTCCATATTCATAAGTGTCTACCACTTATTAAATAATGGTCAATATATTGTAGATTAAAATAAATTTTATGTCTATTATTCATTGAGTTTTATTTCACCCAGAAAAATCAAAAGGACTTATTTGCCAATCCAATACATACGAAAGTCCCTAAACGTAACTACAAATCTTATTACTGGTCAGATAAAGTTTTACCAGAACGGTTGCATAACACAGTCATTTGAATAGAGAAAAACGCATGTAAATTGATGAGAGTTTTTTCATGGTTAGCAGTTTCAAAAGAAAAACCTGGCTATCATTTAATATAATAGCGTACACTTACTTACCTATACACATGTTGGATCATTGCAATTTTCTATTAATAAAACTTCTTACCATTTCTTAAACCAGCACAAATGGTTCTTTCTGATGTTATGTATAAAAATTCTTTCCTGCTCCTTAGGCATTCTGCTTGGTCCACAATCGGTAGTTGGAATATTTCTGGTACCTTCTTCGTTTTCCGTTTAGTTCTATCTAACCCCCAACCTACAACCTGTAAACACTTTTAATATAAAAGTAGCAGTATGTAATTATTAATAATTTTATGAATCTCCACACTCGAACCTAGAGAAGAAGGAGGATTGCCAAATTAAATAAATAATGTAATAAAGTCGATGTATCAATATCGTTCATAACAGAATCAAGACTTCGCTGGGAGACGGTCAGATTGCAAGAATGAATCCAAATAATAATTCCATCTCATTAGATTTGGATCCCATTAGAAAAAATATGAGTATAGGAGGGTTGGACGATCGAGGCACTATTGGATAGACTATGTGGCTGGTGATGCAATATCTCTGCCTACAGCTTTTTTTTTTTTTTAGAGAGCTCATTTTACAACTGACGTTTCATAGAACAAGATTTTGTTTTTCATAGCAAGCCATAGCCCTCTTTAGCTTAGTGGAGGCCCCAATGTGCCCCGCGGGCCAAAAGGTTTCAGGTTATAACTGAACTACTGGTGCACAAAGCGGAATAGTAATATGACTCTCCCACAAAAAAGAGGTCATGGCAGAAAATTTATATACCTCTTTCATTGGCCGTGAGGTGACCCTGGGTCGGGAGACCCTCCTGGGGCACACCCAGCCTCTATAAAGTGGGTACCTTTAATTAAATAATTAATTAAGGGGGAAAACCTGGCGGTTGAGCGTGATCTCGGTCAAATCAACTTCTTGCACAACCGTTAACCTAGAAACAGTGCTTTCCCTAAATACACTGACAGGCAAAAAATTCCACCCACTTGATTTTTTCTTGTTTTCATCTAAAAATATTTCTGCTTTGGATTGGTCTATTGTTTTTAATGAATAAATAGGTAATCTTTTTGTTTGTTTTCAATTAGGAATGTTAATATAGAGGACAATAATCCTTAATCCTTAATTCAATGAAATGATTCTAGATTCCAATGTTTACTTTCTATGGAATCAAATTGTTTATTCAGTATCATTAGTTCAGTACCGTTTCTTGCAGCACATTTCTTAGTCTCCGGCTTTTAATTTTTTCAATATTAAGTTTAAAAATGCCTCTTAGTGCTGAGGATGTTGCGCGTGGTGTGGCACTTATTGATGATGGACGTTCCATTAGATATGCAGCTAATGCCATCGGAGTTCCATATGAAACTTTACGAGAAACCGTCAGACGTTTTCAGGAAACTGGTTCTTACAATAGAAGGTCCGGTTCTGGACAGCCTAGGATAACAGAACCACGGGATGACCGATTTTTGACTTTGAGAATTTTACGAAACCGGCACCTTACCGCTGCTCAAGCGATTCATCAGCTCGAAGAAGTTCGAGGTGTGCAAATTTCCATTTGCATTAATTAATAATTGGATTAATCGTCCAGTAAGAGGACTAGAGTTGACCAGAACTTACAGAGTAACACGGCTGGCTTTTGCTCGAGAACACAGCCATTGGACTATGGACGAATGGAGTGCTGTACTTTTTACAGATGAGTCAAGATTCGCTCTTCGGTCTGCAGACAGGCGTGAAAGGGTGTGGGAAGAAGAAACGAAAGATATGCAGCCTGCAATGTTTCCCAGAGCCAACCTTTCCAACGTGGTTCCTTAATGGTGTGGGCTGGGATTTCAATGGAGCGCCGCACAGAATTGGTTGTTGTTCGTGGAGGGTGTTTGACGGCCATTCGCTATGTAGATGAGATTTTGGAACCTCATGTGTTGTCTATCCTCAACGAAATCGGCGATCGTTCTATTCTAATGCAGGATAATGCACGCCCGCATGTAGTCCGCATAGTACAGACGTTCCTTCAACAGAACAATATTGAGGTTTTATCCTTGCCAGCATGTTCTATAGATTTGAACCCCATTGAGCATTTATGGGATAACCTCGGAAGATGAATAAGAGCGCGTGCAACACTTTCTGATACGCTGCAGGACCTTGAAAGGGCTCTTCGGAAGGAATGGGCTATCCTCCAGCAAAGGGACATTTCCCGACTGGTGGAAAGTATGCCGAGGCGTCTTCAAGAAGTAGTGAAGGCAAGAGGAGGAAACACGTGCTACTAAACGACGATGTAATTAATTTCTTTTAGAATAATAATGGTTCGTTTTTCTATTTTTCTTTTCTCTAATATTTCTTACCCAATCACATTTTGATAATTAAAGGTAAAAAAGATTATAAAATTCCATAAATATTAAGTATTATCTACAAATACCATGCATTATATACAAATACAACTTTACAGATATAGTTTTCAGATGAAAAAATGGAAAAATCAAGTGGGTGAAATTTATTGCCTGTCAGTGTAGTACTGAACCCCAGACCCTTCAAGGGTTGTAGTGGTACAGGTTTTTTTTTTCCCAAAAAAGAGGACTATTAAATTATTCTGATTCTTTAAAATTTAACAGTGGGCGGAATTCTCCTATCATGGTACAAACAATTGATAAAACGAACTATAATTTTTAATGAGGGTTTTATTGTACAAGAAACATCATGAGTAAAAAAATCATTGAATTTAAATAATGTAGCAATTTAATTGTTCATCGTCATAATTTAAAGGTGTAATTAGAATTTGCAAAGATGTTATGAAACTATTTTTTTAATATTTACAATTTCTCCTCTGTGATTCTCATAATCACAAAATCGAGTTTTTGTTATCCTTTTAAAAAGCAAATATTATTTGCATCCATTTGTATTTAATTTACGGTTAGAAGAGCAACTTCTCTTCGGCTCCTTGTTTTGTTCTTTACATCCATAGATAATCTATCACCAGCTAGAATGATTTTTTTTATTTTTACAGCAATGCAGTACATTAATAGCTTATTATGAAGTTACAGACCTGAGCTGTCATTTATTGTTTCAAACTTACCTTTTTACAGAATCCCGTTTCCAGCACGAAGCATTAAAATAAATTCAGTATAATCCGTAGCAGAAATTTCACAGAACACTCTGCCAGCGATTTTGCTGTTTCTTAATTCACTTCATGAAAAGTTCACGAACATAATCTTCTCTAAGATATTTTGAGAGATCAGTTCCGAATGGGTAGATGAAAAGCGCATATAAGTCGTCTGATTTATTTCTTGGGACTTTTTAATAGGTGTGAACTGCCATAAAATAAAGTTCAGCTTAAAAAAAAACTGTTAAAATCATTTTTTTTTCTTTATCTCTCCCAAGATTTTCTTTTTTAAATTATGTTCTGTTGTAAATAAATGTCTCCAAAAATAAATTAATTTAAGCACTTTTTATTTATTGTGTTTTTTTTCGAATTTGCATAAATTTATAAATTTAAACAGATATTGTAAACATCAGAAATTTATATTTCCAACACAATAGGTTGAAGATCCGACAGAATAATTAAATTGAATTAAGATTATCATAAAAAAATAATAATAATAAATAAAGGTTAAACAAGAGATAACGTTTTAAACAAGATGACTAACCTTCATGTATACACTTTATTGTTGATTTAAGGGTAGTAAATAAAAAACAAAAACAACTATTGTCTTCAGTGCTATCCTATTAATTGTTTTATTATTTGAACAGTTGACATTGCACCCAGTTGATTCACCTTCTTTCTTTGTCTATGGCAAATAAACAAGCGGCGAAAGTATTCCTTGCAGGGGTGACCAGAAGGAGGTTTCATGGCGCAAGTCGCGCCATCAAATTTTTTGAGGGAGGCTTATTTTGATTTTTTGAGGGGGGCACATTTTGACGGCGTAATGAATTTTAGGAATGAAAAGTTTCATCCCAGAGACAAGGAGAAAACATGGAAGAGACCACAGCAAGTGTAATTGTGTATGATCTACAATTTTTCTAATTCTACCTTCGCTTGCTCTGTTTTAAGGAAATATGAGCAATAAAATATCTTGGAAGTGGGGTGAGAGAGGGGGTAGGTTCTTGCGTCATCAACCTTGGGGAGGATGGGCACCCCTGATTCCCTGACTGAATTAAGTACCTTACTCAGGACTCTTTAGAATGGCTGTATTTACTAGCCGCTAATTCTCATGGTAAAGAACTGTAAGTGATCTATTTTGAGACTCTAGCGAAGGGCACTAGCGGATCCAGGATTTAATTTTGGGGGGGGGTTCAGCCCGAAACCTTTTTTTTCTTCATAAAAATAACGATAATTACTTTGGAAAAACAGAAAGAAACTAACTACCTACATGAAATGGTGTTTAAGTTATCCCTTAAGTACTTTGAAATGTAATTACACGAACAATAATACTTTAAGAGGTATTTTTTAATTTTCTTTTCCCGTAAAACATGGTTATATTTTTCCATTTTGGGGGGGGGCTTCAGCCCGAAAGCCCCCCCCCCGTAGATCCGCCCGTGGCGAAGGGTTAATTCATTATGTTTTTTTTTTCCCAACCATAATCGTATATATTCATTTTGATTAGAATCATTTTAATATATGAGTGTACCTTCAATGTGTACCTGAACCTTCAATGTGTACAATATTTTAAAATATTCACCTCTGAGCTTTTACTTAATCCTAATGTCGTAAATTGAATAAAACAGTCAAGTTTTATTTACCAAAAACTCTGTTCGGGTAAGTTAGGTAAAAGCATGCCATAGAGATAAGCGACTGCCGAGTCACACTTACGTACATCCTTACAACAATTAACCAAAGTGGGAAGGTCGAGTTCCATTCCGTGCGTCCGCCACGAAATAAAAGTCAACTCTTCCTTGGTCAGATTCGAACCGGCGTCGTTAGGCACGAGAATGCTGCAACTGGCAACATTTCAACACTCTCGGCCATCACGAATTCTTTTGGATAGTTTCTGTGCATTAGAAGAATTTCTCGATGTTTACTTATGTGGAGGGAATGCCAATGTCTCAGACAAGCTAAGCAAATTAAAAACCCTCTATCTCTTAAACCATACAGTTTGGAGTTGGCTAAAAAGTCAAAGCGGTCCACTAGCTGTATTCGTCCTCTCTTTTCTACCAGTACCCAATACCTTATTCCAAGCACCTCACGAATTATCAATAGGCATTCTTGGATCCCGCTCCAATATTTAGAACACTGGATACAACCACTTTTCCCCGTAAAATATTAAAAAAACTTGGACTAAAGCACCACTAGCTCTGTAAGCTGCTGAACCGGACAAACCAAAGTTATTAATTAGCTTTATCTCATCCATGTTTATAACCACGTTATTTCCCAGATTTTTTTGAAGGCTTTTAATTTTCAGGGGGGGGATTTCTAATTCTAGCATTAATTTCTCGCCCTCTGTCCTGACCCAAAAAAAAAACAAAAACAAAAACGCTATAGGCAAAAAGGCGGTGAAAAAAAAGTTTCAGTGTTGGTCCACTTAAAAGACAATTCTAGTTAGCCTCAAAAGTCATATGATGTCATGTTGCTACTTATTATTATTAATCTCATTACATAAAATACGACCAGGTGAGATGGTCACCTACCTTAAACCTAAAGTTATAAGGTTTGGAAGAGGATTTAATTTCCTTGAGAAATAGGTGGTCCCATAGAAGGTAGAAAGGCAGGCTGATGACGATTTAACGAAAGAATCTGTTGCGTTTGGTCGACTTTGGTCGTACCAAAGTGTGTCTCACGAGGCAGTGCACGTTTTGACAAGAGGGGTCTCGATCTTATTCTTCGAGAAGATTCATTGTGAAAGATGTTTAAATGGGAAGGCTCAGCAGATTTTCCTGAAAATGCTCGCGTGAAAATTGCTAAAGACACGAGAGAATGGAAGATCATAGAGGACATTAGGTCAAGATGATATTATTGAAGATAGGAACCGTCGGTAGGCGCTTAAGATCTTTACTTTTGTTCTAAAACATGATAAGAGTTTGTTGTTAGGGTGTACATATGTGTTAGTCGGCATCATCCATTTATCTCTCTGAGGTACTTTTATCTACATAACCCAGACATACCCATTGTCTTTAATGATTTTCCTTACAGTGAAACTAATTTTTGTAATTCAAAAAGTAAAGGTTAGAAACTTTTCACTGTCATTACATTATTTTCCATCTTACAGCTAGTGGGAACTCTAGCAGATTCATTTTCCTTTTTTCATTTCCATATTTCATAAATGAAGATTTAATGGGATTTTGTTAGTATTCATTCAATATAGTTAATATTGTATATAAATCTTACTGTTCCCATACGGCCAAGTAAAGGTTTAAGTGACATCCCTCCATCCCATAAACAGATAGGGCTTATGTATTCATCATAATGTATAGTTCTGAATTCCATCACAGCTATATCTGCCACATAGTTCGTCTCATTGTATTCGGGGTGAATAATAATATTATCAACCTGAAATGTAATAAAATTATTGGAATACCATAAACCAAATTAATGGTGTACGAGATTGGTAAATTGTCATAATCTAGGTAAAATCCATTATAATATAGTCTGAACTTGTGGTGGAATGATGTTCCAAGAAGATTGTTTGTCATGAGTTGATGTTTTGTCACATTGTCTGGTTCGAAAATGGTGTGACTATGTGTGACCCTTAAAAATATAACTTCATCGGTGTGATTGGTGATCCATATTCATTATAGCAATTCTGCTTTGGAATGACTTCCAGAGGGTTAAGGGAATCCTCTTATTCGTCAAAGCAGTTTTCCACGGATACTATTATTCAATATCAAAATTACATATATTATTCCTTCATGTAAAATAGAAATAAGTACAAGCTTTGAAATACAATAAAAAGATATCTGTTTACAAAAAAAGGGAAAATGTATTTATATGTCATGATATTAAACATAGGTAGCTTTGTAATTCCCTGGTATCTGTGAAATTGATCAAAATTGCAGTAAATACCTCAATGAAGATTAACCATGATATAAATAAACAAATGGGTTCACTATGACATTATGAGTGAACTTCAATTGCAAGAAATGTCATCAGGATGAAAAAGAGCTGGTGACGCACCGGTCAGATCTTTAAGATCTGTGGCCTGTGGTGGTCCAACAAATCTGAATTAAGTGTCATCCAGTAATACAAACATCTTTCTACTCAATTATAATACCATAAGATTGAAAAATGAGTTTTAGCCACTTTTTATCACCAATGTGTGTCGTTTCCAATTTAAATCGCTCCTATTCATTCATCGCCCATCAACGCAGTTCTCCAACACTTGTAAATATGTATATATATATACATTTTTTTAAAGGATTATATGTATTGTTCTTTTTAATTTCACTTACCTATATATGGGGAGAGGGGTAGCTCAGTGGTAAAGCACTCAGCTTCCAATGCTCAAGGTCCCAGGTTCGAATCCCGCCTAATGGCAGAAAAATTATTTATTCTCTGTTCCTTTGGTCGTGGGGTGACCCTGAGGTGGAGAGACCCTCCTGGACCACACTTAGTCTCTACAAAATGGGTACTACAAATTAAAATAATTAATTAATAGGGAGAACCTGCCAGTTGAGCGTGATCTTGGCCCGATCTTCTCCCTGCCCAACCTTTGGTCTTGAAATAGCACTTTCCCTAAATAGTACTGAACCCGAGACCCTTCATAGTTTGTAAATGGTACAGGTTTTTTTTTTTTACCTATATTTGTAATATATAGTAAGGTAGAGAGAGAAACACTTTATTTTCATAAAAATGTAAAAGATTGCTGCCCAATTATATTGGGTTGCTATATACACAGCATACTCTTTAATCCTTAGGGACGTAGTATTATAATAATAGTCAATATTAAATAGTAAGTATTGCGATCGTGAAATTTTTCGAGTCTCCTGTGACACATTTTGAGGTCCCCTGAGGTTCAAATAACCAAGTCCCACTAAATGGTCTGTGTGTGTGTGTGTATATGTGAACATCCTAGCCCAAAAAGAAAAAGTCGTAAAACTGAAATTGCGTATTGCGTAAGGTTTTTATAAGCCCGAGATGTTACAGCAACATTTTCGTCAAAATCGGCAAACCGGAAGTGGGTACATCTATATATCAAATTTTTACGATTTTCTCAAAAACGGCTCTAGCGATTTTGATTAAACTCAATATATCAAGGTATTATTAAGCAGTATTTAATGTAATGTAGGTTTTATTCTCATTGATGTTCTCTAAGAGGGCTTAAATTATTAATTTTCAATATGGGCTTACTCTAAAGTATCTTTATTTTTTTTATTTGAAATAATTAACCATTTCACATTATTTCTTTATATTAAAATATTTAATATATACTATGAAAGAATTTGGTAATTAACTAAAGGTGACACCTGCTAGGTCAAAATTGGACCGTACCTTTCTGAGCCTTTCCCAAAAAGCAAAGGATTGCTTCAGGGGTGCTGTGCCTCTTCTTCTCTCTTGAAGATTTATCTTAACATTGGTTTGAAAGCATGGGAAATAAGATGCGAACCCATGGGAATTCAGTTGAAAGAAAATTCAGTGTTCCTGTGTCCTTCGAAGATGACCAGGTCATCATTTCACAGGACGCAGAAGATGCTGGATATATGTTAAGAAAATTAAATGAGGAATACCAGCAGTGGGGACTAATATTAATGCAGAGAAAACGGAACACCTGACCTTCAAAATGAAGATATAGAACCGAATCCAGAAGTGGCTTTAAAAGAGTTAAAAAATTTAAATATCTTGGTTCCATAATTGAAATAGATAGTGCATGTGATGTGGAAATAAAAAGAAAAAATTCTGATGGCAAAAATACCACATCAATGCTCAACTCGGTATTATGGGACCAGAACATTATCCCCAACAAAAAAAAAATATCTATAATAGTATAGTGCTGAGCATTGTGACATATAGGTCAGGAATTTGGACAATTGGATAATAGTCAACATTTTATATCAGTATTTTAGGTAATGTATTTAGAAATAAATATCATCATCAAATAATATTAACTCTTGTTACTTACTGAATTAGAGTCAAAACAACCTAAAAGTAGAAAGTTAAATTCTTTACTTAAGAATAAAAACTATAGACGAAATTTGAATTTGAGAGAGAATGATAGACAATGTGGGTATGTACCAACCTGTGCTTTAACTTCGGGAGGATTAATATGATATGTAAAGTAATGCGGCGTTTTTAGATACTGTTTACTGATTAGCCCAGTTTCAGTGATGAGTTGCTCTCTAACCTTTTTGTCAGGTATAAAGCAGTTAGTTTGTCGATGTGATTTTGTAATAGAGGATAAAGGATGTAGATTTTTTGGGAGTCATTTAAGGATTTCTTAAATAAGGAATAAAATGGGACAGGAGACTGGTAAGAAGTTATATCAGAAGAGTAACAAGAGATTTTAATTCAAAGAGGAAGGGTATTAAGATGTGTGGCATTTGTCGGAGGAGGGACATAAGAAATTCGATGTTTTGATTGAGGATTAAGCAAATTTTAATAGTAATATTTTGAGATTGGGATTGAGGATGTTAAGGAATCTGTGGTGGATCGAGGAATGCTGTGAGGGGGAGGGAGCACTTGTGAAACAGGTGAATTCTGTACACCAAAGGTGTGTATGGGTGTGTGTGTACTTAAAACACAACACTTTTGCATAATATTTCAACATATTTCCACAGATTAAATTGAAAATAGATTCTAAGGGATCAGAGCACACTACTTTCAGCTAAAATATTCAGACATTTCACCAATAAACGAATATTAAGAATTTTTAATGTAAATATTCAGACATTAAATTATTTGTAGTATCTCAATTTGAGATTCTTAAAACATTCTCGCATAGAGCATCATTAGATTTGTGTTGTTCAGTGTATTTAAATTTAATATTACAAGTATTATGCTAATAGAAATAAACTATTCTGGAAGGCATTAAACTGTGCTTTATGAGTGTGACGAGATTAATTTCTTTCCTTTAATGATTAGAGACCATAATCCTTGACATTGAAATTCAAATGCTATCAGTTGATAAATTTCACAAGCCGCTGTATTTTTCTGTTGTCTTAAATTTTACACAAGTTATCGGTTATGTTTCACAGTTTTAACCTTAATTACATATAATTTTAATTGATTCGGATTTTATTAATTATTTATAGAAACACATATTCAATTTAGAAGATGTCAATATAGTGGTATTTAACTTTATTGAAGACAAGTAGATACTCATACGTATGTACAGTAAACAATCGGACTTGACAAAGAGAGACAAATAGAAGGATTGAGACATAACGTCAATACCACTATTATTTAATTAATGTATATAATATAATAAATTCTTACGTATCATGAAGCGCATTAACATATTACACTGGGTAACAAAAAATAAATTTTTGAATGTTTCCAGCACTTCATCTTAGTCAATTCTTACTAATTTTGGGTTAAAAAAACGATTATGTGAATGAAAAATTTTTCTTAGCTCTAGTTTCTGTGAAATACACTAGGTGGATGTATTTCATATTAACGGGTTAAGGGGAAAAGATGCATTTTAATTATATATGCTAACAAAATTGAAAGTGCGTTTGATTTTTCAAATTGGAAGTTACATTCTATGAGTTCTAAATTGCTGGAAGAATACCTCGCAGATTGTCGTGTCTGAAGAGATTATGTGGTGGCTTCATGAGATCGTCGTCTTTTAGCTTGCCTCTTGTAAGGGAGTTCCGGAGCATCCCTACACAAAGACCAACAGTAATCCGCAAGCATTGCTTCATTCCAATGGCCCTGATATCTTTGTTTCATAACAGAAATGTCCTGATGGAATCTTTCTCCATGTTAATCACTAACAGCTCCACAACTAGGAGAGAAAAAGTCTAGGTGGGAGTGGAGAAAATGGATTTTAAGGGACATGTTGCATCCAAGGTTATGGTACTTTTGCAGAAAGCACTGTCACCAAATGCGTGTAGTAGTCATCTCTTTTATTGCTTAAAAATCCACGAGGAACTCTCCTTGAAGGCTTCCTTTTCTTTCCATTCCAAAACTTGGTCAAATGCAGGATCCTTTACAAATTCTCGAATTTGTGGCCCTACAAAAATGCCTTCCTTAAGTTTCACATCACTTAATTTTTTCTGTTGTGTACTTAAAGGCCCTTAAAGTCTTTCTTGGTTCATATCTTTGACAAAAGTTTTCATCAAACCCAGCTTGATATACAGGGGTGGAAGTAGAATATCTTTTGGGTCCACGAGAGGCTTGGCAATGACATTTTTCTCGCTAGGGTTACGATTTCTTGCAGGCCAGTCTCCTTTAATACAATGAAATTTCCTATCTCTACTGCCCCACATACATAAGAAGCAGCAATGTTTTGTTAACCCCAGTTGCATTCTTAAGAATATGGCAATGACTTTTAGATCACCACAGATTTTCCATTTGTGTTCATGATATTTGAGTGAGCCCAAGATGGCTGTCAT